TTGGGCAATCGAACAGTTAAGTCTGTGCTCTAAGTCCATCTTCTAAAAAAGATAGCTATGCAAATAGCTGAACGACTTTTCTAGAAATAAAATGTGATGAGAAATTGTTCAGGATGATCTCGTGGCATGTTCAATAGCACACATTATAAATATTTAGAAAAAAGGAAAAACATTGGTCATTATCGTGAATTAGTGACGTCATTACATCGTTCCTGTGACGTTATAATGAGTAATAAAATACATGTTATATTTAATCAACTATAGTTCTGTTATAACTCTTAAAAAGCACTGATAAGCTGTTTAGAAAATAAGTTCTAAGTTCAATTATATACATACATGAAGCTAATAAAATTATACAAAAGGCCTTTTAAACATGACGTTGCATGTACAATTATTTTGTTGATTCCAGATTTACTAATGATTACGTGAAAAAAACCCAAGAAAAATCAATCTTAAACAACTGATATAGCAAAGATTTATGCAGACAGGTATTTTTTCAAGCTAGCGGAATCTCTTTTCCGAGTATGATGTTCCACTTAACGTTTGGACATTTTATCCAATCATGATCTACTCTTGGACAAATGTCTTATCACAATTACCTATTAGCTATGTCTTCAACTATCTAAAGTATGCTGTACGCCATGGAGAGAGAGCTTATAAAGGCAAAGCCTGTTCCTCAATCCTTTTGTTTAATCAATAAAATGTATTTGAAATGAAATAATTTACTCTTGGACAAATGTCTTATCACAATTACCTCTTAGCCATGTCTTCAACTATCTAAAGTATGCTGGAAGCCACGGAGAGAGCTTATAAAGGCAAAGCCTGTTGCTCAATCCTTTTTTTGAATCAATAAAATATATTTGAAATGAAATAATTTACTCTTGGACAAATATCTTATCACAATTACCTCTTAGCCATGTCCTCAACTATCTAAAGTATGCTGGAAGCCACGGAGGGAGCATATATAGCCAAAGCCTGTTGCTCAATCCTTATGTTTAATCAATAAAATATATTTGAAATGAAATAATTTATTCTTGGACAAATGTATTATCACAATTACCTATTAGCTATGTCTTCAACTATCTGAAATATGCTGGAAGCCATGGAGAAAGCTTATATAGGCGAAGCCTGTTGCTCAATCCTTTTTTGGAATCAATAAAATATATTTGAAATGAAATAATTTACTCTTGGACAAATGTCTTACCACAATTACCTCTTAGCTACCTCAACTAGCACAATTGCAACATGATTATGTTGCGCTAGTGTGATAACAACAAGAAACGCATTCATTTCGTTATAGTAACATAGTGATTTCTTCCCTTTATATGCAAATGATAACATACCCTAACACTTAAATGTTATAAGGGCTTACCTTTCTGTTTAGATTTTTGGTAAATGATCGCCGAAATTCTATTTCCAACTTCTATAATATGCGATATTATTTATGCATAATGAATATTAGTTATGATTTAAATAATATTTCCAAATGTAATTGACGATATTATCAGTGGGTCATGTAAATTACACAGTGTTAAGCTGATATATAAACTTGGACAACAAATATAAGTGGGTGCATATTGATCAGGTCTTGTCTTATCATTTAAAAAAAAACCTCTTCTTTTCTTCAAAATGTTTTATACGATAATAAGTTTGATGCTCAGCCATAACGTTGTGGGGGAAAAAGGACAGGTATAGTGTCCGTCGCTACACACACTCAGTTAAGGATCATCATGAATTTTAATAAAGAGCCGAAAAATTAAGGTGGCGCACACTGAGCCTTCGATATTTCTATGACATATTCCAGGGGTGCAGAGAGCGTAAGCGAGCGTAACCCTTAGAGGATGATAAAAATGTATCGGAAACATTGCTTCCAACATTACTTTAGCTCTATCTAAGGATCATCATGAATTTTGATAAAAAGCCGAAAAATTCAATAGATTTTTCTATGACATATTCCAGGGGTGCAGAGAGCATAAGCGAGCGTAACCCTTAGATCATCGAGGATGGTAATGATGAAGACCCTTCCAAAGATAATGACGTTAAGGATCCCCACAAAGAAAAATGATAATGCATCGAAAACTTTTCTTCTAACATTACCATAGCTTTATAAATCATTTCTGTAAAGAAAACCATACCTTACAGAACTTTTATGAAAAGATAAAGGGTTGGATTAAAACATAATGTTGTTCTAACTGTAAGACTGCAGCTTAGTAAGACCAGGATTCAACATGGTCTACAGTTGTTGTCTTCGAAACGAAAAATATAAGGGGAGGTTTTCGTTTGTCCAAAAACCTGAAGTGACGTGCGTTCTTAAGTGTTTTGCCGGCAATTGGACATGAACCCTTAAGGAATTGTAGGTTGAGAGAACGTTATCAGCTGAAGTGCTTAAAAATTCGTGTCATCATACAACTACTTTAGTTTTTTATCATTGAAGGAACACACGAAGTTTTGTGCGTAATCAATGAAGCTTCTTCCTTTATTTCGTCTAGATATATATATTTCAACTAGTTTGTTTTCACTTTTCTCCGCAATTAACCCTACCGATTTGCAAGAATATTAACAGTACGCAAGATACATGAATACAGTTAATATGCGGTTGACATAAATTTTATACCTATTTTCTAGCGATGACTCAATGAACCTTAGACATAAAACTAATTAACAGAAGAAAAGAAAAAAATTCAGTTAAAAAGCATATCTATAAAAATAAAATAAAACTCTTTTTCAACTATTGAAATGTATTGGACATGGGGCTTGTGTAATATTTTGATTCATAAAAAGTAAGAATTTCAACTTGAATTTATCGACTAATTTCATTTACAAACATCATATTGGTAAACTGGGGCAATCTTTCCTGGTGCAGGATTTTTCATAAAATTCATATTTGCATGCTTTATTTATCCCGGATTACGAATACAACAACTAATTCTGTATCAACGTGGAGGCCGGAAATGACTCTTTAACGCCCATTGCCATATGATCATTGTTTTCATTCCGTCCTCTTTCCGAAAAATCATGTGTATGACGTTTCCTGCATACTTTCAAGTGATGTCAGGTGACTAAACCTGAGTGTTGAAATGACATGGGCGCAACAAGCTCTTCTTAGAAATAGTTTAAAATAGGAGAGGGGCCGGGGCAGGGACTTCATAGAGGGACAAGCGATGCAATTAGCAGCGTTTTGTTTTTGTTTTTTCTGTTTGACAATTTAGTGAATTCACCTGCGTACCAGCTACACGCCTTACTGATGCATCGTTCATGAGGCTATATTCCCCATCACCACCCCTACTCCCCGGTCCCACTCATACATTGCCAGTATACATGTTTGTGTGTGTGTGTGTTTTGTGTGACGTCACCAAAAACAAACAAAAGCTCTATACTTTACTTACGCTCTGAGACATACAGTTTACCGTACATAATTGTTTGCACATTACATTAGAGAAAAGGTCAATTTTGAAGTTTTTAGACATGAATGACATTATATTCAAAACGTTTATACATTTAAAGTAGATGAAATTGATCTGATGGTGGTATATTCTACCATATAATAATATAATAATAATAATAATAAAGGCTTTATTTTTTCTTGATAACATAATGAGCATGAAGATCATCTTACATTTTGTCAAGATACAATGTATGATAAAATGTACAATATATACATGTCATCCTTCTTCATATGACAATGTAATGTTGATGTGGCGAGATCCGCAATCTTTAGACTGTGAGTCAACCTCTGACGTTACGTTAATGTAAGTGAAAAAAATAAGAAAATATTCCCGGAGGGGGTGAAATTTCAATTTAAGAATAGATTTGAAATGATACAAGAAAAAAAGAAATAAAAAGAATAAAAAAATAGCAGAGCTGATTTCAGAAACAAAAAAAGTATTTCATGAAGTTGAAATAAAGGTTATGACGTCATACTTTTATCCTATTATAACGTCAGCACCGAGGTCAAAAGGCTGATCGGCCTTGGCGGCACTCAAAGGTATATGACGTAAAATGCATGCGGCACGCAAAGAGTTAAGGTCTGTGTTGCATTCAGTACTCAAACAAGTGTGAACTTGCAAGGTAGAAAAATGAACTTGACACATGTAATGAAATGGGCTGTAAATTAAGTAATTAATGACAATGAATTGAACCATCTTATAACATGTAAGCTAGTGGGTATCGATAGAGCGCAGCACTTTGGTCAAAAGTATATATAAGGTCAAATCTTACGATTTCGTTAACACCGTGCATTGCTTGACGGCGAACTGTGACATTGTAAATAGTGCTATAGTGATTTCCAACTAGTGGCGACCAGGTCAGTCATGGATGACAAAGAGATAGGAACGGAAGAGTGTGATCTCCCCAAAACAGACAGGGGTAACTGTTATTGCCGTATGGTTAATCTAGTATTGTTGATTCGGAAGGGAAATGTTAGCTTAGAAGATTAAATTGCTGCATGTACCTCAGTGTTATGTACAATAGGTGGTGCCTATTCATCAATAGTTGATGTTGTACATAGAAGTACTCGAGGAGAATTTATAGGGGGATAAGAGAGTAGAGTGGGAGTCTAGAGTTGAGAGTTGGAAGTTGAGGTTCTGGAATGTGGAGAAGGAGGCCAGGGAAGACCTCGGCCGGAGGGGCCAGGAATGACCCGTGTACAACACTTGGTGTGCATTAGAACTATGTATTTGATGTTATATATATAATCTGCGTGCCAGTTGATTTGCTGTCGTGTTCAAGAACTATATACCAAAGGACATTTACAAATTTTAAGAGATATCTTGCTGAGAGAGCCTTGAGTATGGTCTCTGACTGTCGGTACCACAATGCGTAGTAGTAAAACAATAAGTCCACATGTATTGTTCCATGAACTGCGTAATACACACAAGGAAATTTTGCAAGCACTTGATACCAAGTACTTGGATAAAACAATTACGAAGGAAATGGAAAGTGAAAGTGATGAGGCAATATAATGTAGTTATATAAATTGTTGATCAGCAATCGAAGCTGTTGACACTAGATATATGGAAGTGCATACGACATCCAACTCATACTGAAATTGTCAAACTAGGCCTATTTCCTATATTTGAAAACACAATTGCGAACTTCGGAAGCAAATAGCATTAACAATGAAGTGTGTGGTGTTCATGTTGTTAGTTTTAGTACAAGTGAATGTTTCTTACCAACAACATATCCTTACCGAACACAAAAGGCGCCATTGTAAGGCTCTACAGACCTCGGATATCATGGAGCATGCGCTACCCGAGATACGCCGCATCCTTCAGGCAGAAGCCGAAAACACCAGACGTCTCCTTCAGACAGAAACCGAAAACACCAGACGTCTCCTTCAGGCAGAACCCGAAAACACCAGACGTCAGCATGGGGAGTTCGTGTTTGCTTCTGCTCTAAGAGGTAATATCTCATCTTTAATTATTTAAAAGTTGTAAGTATAGAATATCACACTGTGTTTTCAGGGTTTGTCTTGAAAACATTTTTCTCATCGCGAGCCCGTGTTTTAAGTCGAGACGTTAACAAAATACCATATCTTCTAATTGACTTATAGGCTAATGTTTTTAAAAGATATTTTAAAACAGTATTAGAGCTCATTTACGCTTAAACTTATGTATTTATCCTCACTATAATTTATTTTATAATCCCAAATGGAATGCTTATGACGAACTAGGCAGAAGACCTGTTGAGTGGGTACTATTTTCGGTTCAGGACGTCCAATGGCGCAAGCAGACGATTTTTTTAATGAGAAAATGCATTCACGAATAGGAAAAATGTTCTCAGGTCGTTCTCAAACCTCTTCTTGAGTATTCTCTTACTTGCAACCCATTATAATCAATTAACCTTGCTACCGGTGAGTGGTACTTCCTCGATACCCCAAGGTTAATGCTCACTTACGCTCTCTGCACTCCTTGAATATGTCATCGCAAAATTAAAGACACAAAGACAGCTGATTGGTTGGTTTCAGGTTAATGCCTTTTCCACGGAAAAAGACAATGATTTCTGATAGGGTAAGTTGTTTTCCCTTCGATGGCACGCTGATTTTCCCCAGTGTATTGTCCTCCACTACAAAAACATAATTTGGTCCTTTGCGGCGTCGTACAAATGCTCTACAAAGCTTCTGTTTGTTTTCAAAAAGATTCATTAGTTTGGAAATATGTGAAATCAAAGTTTTACTTCCTCACAAACAATGTACTATTAAACGTGTCGCAACGTTTTAAGACCGACTGGTACCTTTATCAAGCTAACAATGTGTATGCTTATGTTTGTTGTTGGCAGTGTACTCGACGTTAAAGGAAGTCTACTTATTTATTTATTGAAGTCAATGTTATCGTAGACGTTTGACCAAAGTGTGCGATAGAAATAAGGTGTTTTATAGCTTTTCCTTTGACTTCCTATTGCAGGTTCGATCTTGGTGAGATGTGGGACTGGATGGGTATACTATGACAATAACTGTTACTGGTTTTCTCAGACAAGCAAAACGTGGGAAGAGGCAATAGTATGTCTATAATTTTATTTCAAAATTGTTCATAATGAGGATAAATTTATTTTCTGGCAAAATCACTGAAGTTTCTTCTCTCCCGAATCATTGGAAATGTTTAGGTTATCCGTTGGTGAGTAACACCCTTGACGTTATTTCATTGTTCAGTCTTATAATTATGACGTCAAGTAATAATACTTATACATTCAATTGCTATAAAATGACTTATATAATCAAAATCGAGTACAGGATAGAGGAAACTGCTACATTGTGCTTATATTATAATGTTTTAGTATACTGTCACAATTAGGTGTGTTTGTCTTACGGTCATCTTTCATATAATTGTTTACTTTCACAGTATTGACAAATTGCCAAAAACGTGAGCGTAACCCCTGGAATTTCGAGGATGTTAACTGAAATGACACGTTTTGTTCTAGGAAATATGCGAGAACAAGAACTCCTACCTAGCAGACATTCGAAGTGATGAGGAAAATCGATTTGTCAAGATGAAATTGATCAGTATCAATGAAGGTACCTGAATTAAGCATGCTGTAAACGTGCACATTTTAGCGGTAGTCTTATTTTAGTGTTTTTCGCGCTCCTATTATTGCATTAAAGCATGATTGCGCCAGTGTAAAGCGCAAAGCCTCGGGCTTTACACAATTTGAAAACCCCTCGGATGGAATGTTCTTATCTAACATCCCTTGGCATGAAAGTGTCTTTTAATCTCATACCGGGAAAAGTGTGAACACCTGTTCTGGGTAAGAGAAAGATTTGTTTTCTGCCTTGACCCCAAAGACGGGGAAAGATTATGTTAGTCAATATCATTGGTGTATGGTAGATTTAATTTGTTGAATCCTTTGTTTCACAGATTTGTCTCCCTTTTTACCCGTGCTATACCTCTACAATATTGTTCTATAATAAACTGTAATATTACAATAGTACAAAGTATAAATCACGTGTGTGTGTAATGTTTATTTGCCAAGATATAAGGCGGCACATTAATCAGACACTGCTGGTGGGGTTCTTAGTCCCCAAGGTTTGCCGTTACCTCGATGTCCACATATATCTATTTTTATTAGTAGTGGCACAGTTCATGATTACACATTTTACTTGTTATTGATTTGAAATCAAACTGTACGTCCCTCATTTTAAAATTCGTGTAAATTAGAGTTTATTGTCGTTAAAACAAATTTGAATTTCCATAGTTTTGGCCCCTAGCATCACCTATGAGTCTTGAAAGGACGAACTAGCGGTATGGTGTAGTTTAATTAGTATTTGGCATACTATATCTATAAAAAATTGTAAAGGTGCTATCATGTTTGTTTCATTCGTTCATCTTTCATTATCAAACGTAAAAGGCTTGATTGCTATATTTTTGGAAGAAATGCATGTAACATGTTTTCGCCATGTATGATTAGTTTGTTTTCAGGATATTCAATAAGGTTTATATAAAGAATGATACTTTAGGGGAAATGTATTTTTTAAACGACATTACTAGTTTTATTAACGTTGTTTAAGATACATTTGGGACAGCAAATAATCGCCTATATGCAGAAAGCAAAACAAAACAACATTTCACTGGGCCATATAGCCAATCCATTATGAATGCTAATTGTGTAAATTATTTATATTTTTAGTAATGGTATTGAATTATCATTATTACCTTGGAGGACATCTTACGGAAGGTAAATGGACCTGGAGGAGATCTGGCGAGTTTATTGGATATACTGACTGGGCACCAAAAGAACCTAACAATCACAAAGGTGTTGAAAGTTGTCTGTCGCTGCAAGGATCTTCTGCCTTTAAATGGAATGATGTGGAATGCACAGCGACGAATGTCGCTTTCATTTGCAAAAAAAAGGTATTTTTTTCCAATATTCTTGTTCCTATGCAGGAAAACGCTACATAATTCCTCTGTAGTTTGTCGTACAAACACACGTTTTATCTCCCCTTATTTTCGTTTTGGATATTACTTAATTAAGACAGAGCCAGAATACATCCGATGACCAGTAGATCAGTTTGTTAGAACGACAAAATATGAACTGAAGTCTAAGTTTCGAATCATGGTTCATCTTTGATACTCCAGGGGTTACGCTCACTTTCGTTATCTGTGTTGTGTTGTTGTACAAACGACTCGGACGCAGGCATTGTATGACATCTGTATTACATTGTAGACATACACCCAGCACATGAAGTTACCTGGAAGCCATCTTGGAGAATGCCTCATTCAAATCGAGGCTCACTATAGTCCCTATCAGAAAGCATACACTTATAACTATAGTCTGTTTCACATATGTTTATGTATAACTCCACATCACCCTTTCTGGATATTTTACAAGTAACATGAAATTATCTCATAACATTAAACTGAATATGATTAACCCATAATAAAGCTATTCAGACTATCAATATCTATGAAGATATCTTTAGACTAGTCTTTTCCAACTAAACATAAATTCAAGAGCTGCCTACTATAGTATTAAAATCTGAACAATTAACACAGTCCATTCGAGCTTATTTCACAAGTTCATCCTGTCTGGAACGACTGAAACTCTACCTGAGCGAGTGACAGTTACACCACTCCCTGACCCTATCTCACTGCTAGACCCTATATCTAGATCTGAACTTTTACCAACAGTCATTTTTGAATTAGTTCTTGACTTGGGAGACCCAGTTGGCTTTGGAGCCTTGACTGGGGAATTATGCTCAGACTGTTCAAATGGTTCATTCGCATGACTGGGAACATCTCCACATCCACTGGCTTGGGGTTTATCTGGCCTCATCGCTGGAGCTTGGACCAGCTGTCTCCTGTTCCGTCGAATCTGACCTGACGGTGTGCTGACACAGTACGAGCGATCATTCAATGATTTGGTGATTGTACCACTGCACTCTCCTCTGGGTCCTTTCACCCACACTGTTTCTCCCGGATGTAACTCTGAGCGTTGAACTGCACGATGTGATCTATCAAAGTAGAGCCTTTGAGATGTTCGATCTACCTGTTCTTTGACTCGAACATACTCGAGATCTGGCCACTTAGGAGAGAGATTTGCTGCACTCTCCGGAAGAGTTGTACGGAGTTTCCGGCCCATCAGTAGTTCAGAAGGACTGTAGCCGTTCCGTAGCGGTGTCGCACGACATGCTAGTAGGGCTAAATAAGGATCTTGAGAGCCACTTAGCAGTCGTTTCACTGTCTGTACTACTCTCTTAGCTTCCCCGTTCCCTTGAGGGTAATATGGGCTGCTGGTTGAGTGTTTGAACCCATAATCTCGCGCAAATTTCTGAAACGTTGTACTTGCGTATTGTGGACCATTGTCCGATATCAAAGTCTCTGGAATCCCATGCCGTGCGAATATTGATTTGAGATGTCCAATTATCGCTTCCGAGGTCGTGGAGCTTAACTTAGCGATCTCAGTAGCAGATAGTTGACCCCTTTCCAGTAGAACAGATCAGACCCCAATTTTTGCCAGGGTCGATCTGGGAAGTAGGAAGGCATAGGAGGTTCTGGCCTCTCCGTCCTGTGTTTTAAACACGATAGACAGTTTTTCACAACATCTTCAATTTCTCTGCTGAAACCTGGCCACCATACAGAGTTCTTAGCGCGTTCACGGCACTTAACAATCCCCTGGTGTCCCTCATTTAGTTTCTGTTGGATTTCTGCCCTCATAGACGTAGGAATAACAAGTCTACTTCCTCTCATGAGCAAACCATGACACACAGAGAGTTCTTCTCTTAACTGCCAATATGGTCTAGTAGAAACAGTTATCATGGGGTTCTCATATCCGGGCCATCCGTCTTGACAGTAGTCCATGACGATTTTACAAACACTGTCCTCCTGTAATTTTACCCGAATCTCATTTAAGCGAACTTCTGTAGCTGGAATTTCATCTACTATGGAGTCGACAAAGGCTTCGACTTCATTTTGAAATTCCTCCTCCTCTGATCCTCGCTGATCCAAGGGGGCTCTTGACAGAGCATCCGCGGTATAAAGTAATTTACCGGGCACATGTGTGATGCTGTAGTCATATCGCATAAGGCGCATCCTAAATCTCTGGACCCTTGGAGGTAACTCAGATATCGCATTGGACCCTAGCAGGGAAACCAACGGTTTGTGATCTGTTTCAATGCGATAATGTAATCCTGTGATCAAGTCTGATGACTTTTCACACATCCATGTCACCGCGAGTGCTTCTTTTTCCAACTGCGCGTACCGCTGTTCTGTTGGGCTCATAGATCGCGACGCGTATCCTATCGGCCTCCAGTCATCCTCTTTGCTGTCCTTAAGTACGACTCCACCTATACCATAGGATGATGCGTCGGCAGAAATTTTAGTAATTGCCGCGAAATCATATAATGACAATACTGGTGTGGAGCTTAGTTCATGTTTGATCATTACAAATGCATGTGACTGAGGTTTGTCCCACGTCCAAACGTTCTCCTAACCTCTATGACATTAGTAGGAGCCTCAAAGTTCACGATAGCTCTAACCTTAGCAGGGTCTGGGCGTATTCCCGTCTCATCTATGACATGTCCTACAAATGTGACTCTCTTCTGTGAGAACTCACACTTTCCACCATTTAACGTGATCCCTGCTTTCCCAACTTTCTGTAGCACTGTGTCTAATCGCTCATCATGTTCCTTCCGTGTAGCCCCAAATATCAGCACGTCGTCCATCTGACAACTACTCCTGGCACATTATCCAGTAAGTTACACATTCTCCTTTGAAAATGTTCAGGTGCCGATGAGATGCCAAAGGGTAGGCGGTTGAAACAGTACCGGCCAAATGGAGTTATGAAAGTTGTCAACAATCTGGAGGTTTGTTCTAATGGAAGCTGCCAGAATCCTGAGTTTGCATCAATTTTGGAGAAGACTTCGGCTCCGGTCAATCGGTGTAAAGTCTGTTCTACGCTTAGGAGTTGTAGGTGCTCCCTGCGAACCCATTTGTTCAGCTGTGTCAGATCCACACATATACGGACAATTCCATCTTTTTTGGGTACCACAACCAGTCCTGAGCACCAATCAGTTGGTTCCTCAACAGGGGAGATAACCCCTAGGCCCTCCATCCTAGCAAGTTCGTCCTTGACCTTGTCCTTGGTGAAGTGAGAGCAGATGGTGTGGCGTCATCGCGGAGTTTAATTGTATAATCCCCTTTTAGTTTACCAAGTCCACTGAACAGTTTTGGATATTTAACCTTAATATTCTCTGTTGACTGTACTGAAGCTAACGTTTTCACAAGATTAAGCTTTTCAATCGCTGGCCTGACCAATAATGGTTTGCTTAACGTTTTGATAACATAGATTTCTGTCTCTGCCTGAGTTCCCTTCTCAGTGGATAACACACTGGAAAATTTTCCTAACACCTTTAGGCGGTTCTGACCTGGACCTTGTAGAATCCTTGATGAGTGTTGTAATTTCTGACCCCTATGTTGAAAAACATGCTCGGGTAAAGCCGTAACATCAGCCCCAGTGTCAATCTTAAAACAGACCGGTGTACCAGTCTGTCCTGTCTGTACTACCAAGTATATGGTCTATGGCGAGTGTTCTCGAGTTTCCTCACTTTCAACAGCTCCCAGAAAGCTATTTGTGTATATTTCACCGACTGTCGTGCGACACTTCTTTGCATAGTGTCCCTTCTTATGACGTTTTCTGCATTCAGCATCCTTAGCCGGGCAACTTTCCTTCCTATGCCGGAATCCACATTTGTGACATTCTGGGTTTGACTTGGACTGAGTGTGAAATGACTTCTTGGTGTCAGACAACTTCCGGTTATCGAACGACTTCCGGTTCTCAAATGACTTCCGGTTTCCTGGCAATTTGTGCTTGGGACCCTTGCGAACTACTGCATCTCTCTGTTGCCTACCTGGCTACCACTTGATGTAGTATATCTGTCCCTTACAACTGACTGCTGCATTTTAACTGCTTCAGACTGTCGTACCTGTGTAACAGCCTTTTCCAGGGTAAGCTTGGCATCGAGCTGGAGTTTCTCCGACAAACGACTGTCACGAATACCAACAACTATACGATCTCGTATCATCTCGGATTTCAGATCTCCATACTCACAGTGTTCGACAAGTGAATATAATGCCATGATGAAATTCTCTGCAGTCTCGCCCTCATCCTGTCGTCTGTGGTTAAATTTAGCTCTTTCAAAAATCGTATTTCGTCGTGTTATGAAATATTTATCAAATGTTTCCACAACCTTGTCATAATCTTTGGAATCATCTTCAGACAATCCGAATGATTTGATGATATCCTCTGCCTCTCCTCCCATTGCATAGATAAACGTATTCATTTGGACTGGGCCTTCTTTAGCACCTAGTCCTGCCGCTATCCTGAACCGTTCAAACCGCTTCAGCCACTTGGGCCATTCATCGGGTTTAGCAAACGTAAAGCTCTCTGGGGGTTGTACCTGGTACGTGGCCATTACGACGAAATTCTTATCAGTACCTGTGTTATTATCTGTGGGTTGAGCTATAGCTAAACCACGTGGCGAGACAGCGTCTTCGAGTACCGCATGAAAATCACATTAATTTAGAGTCTATATCACTGTGGTGGTAACCTCTTACCGCTATTCCAACGAAGACCACGTTCTGACACCATGTTGTGTTGTTGTACAAACGACTCGGACGCAGGCATTGTATGACATCTGTATTACATTGTAGACATACACCCAGCAAATGTAGTTACCTGGAAGCCATCTTGGAGAATGCCTCATTCAAATCGAGGCTCACTATAGTCCCTATCAGAAAGCATACACTTATAGCTATGGTTTGTTTCACATATGTTTATGTATAACTCCACAATCTGCATCCCTGGAATATGTCATAACAAAATAGATTTCGTTTGATTCTGCTGAAACTTGGAATAATATACATCGACTCAGGTTAGGACTTTTATGAAACCTGGTAAACATGTACAATATACAAAGACAGATACCGCGCTTAAATGAGGACGTATGCGGTATATAGAATACAGAACATAATATACAATGTGCAGCAACACCGATGCTTATGTAATGTTATTGATTAATACTTGTATCGAATCTACAAAGTACCATTTTTGTTTTCAGGGTCGAACACGAAGTGTATCCTTAACGATGAAGATAAACAATACCTACCAGGACAGGAATGATCTTCAAACGCGACACGCGACTAGATATCACAGATAATAGATTTCGGGCTTTTGAACATTATAATTGATTGTTTAAATAGTATGTCTGCTTATTACATATGAAGTAACTAAAGTAGTTGTATCCATTCGAGACGATATAGCATTCCATTGATTTTTATCAAACTTCAAATATTGGTCATGCACGAGATTATCTAGAACCTGTTTGTGTTTAAGGATACTAATGTCAAGATAACATTCGTCGTTACTATTTATAGATTTTTGTATTCTCTCTAGCGGCTTCGTTTCTCCAAGGTAATGACGTTCAGGATCCCCTCTCTTAAAAAACGTTGTGCTGACTGTAAGACTGCAGCATAGTCAGACCAGGATTAAACATGGTCTACAGTTGTTGTTTTCGAAACGCAAATATATAAGGGGAGGTTTTTGTATGTACAAAAACGTGAAGTGGCGTTCTTTAGTGTTTGCCGGCAATGTGACAGGAACCCTTAAGGAAGTGTAGGTTGAGAGACAATTACAAGCTGAAGTGTTTAAAACTTCCTGTCGTCATACAACTACTGTAATTATTGTTTCCTTTACTTCGTGTATAATATACATTTCAAAATTTAACAAGTAGTTTGTTTTCATTTTTCATGAGAGATCTGTTCCCGATGTAACGTGACGTGCTTACGGATGTTTTCTAGATTTCCAACGTAAACGCTAATACATTATGAGAACCTTTAACATAACAACCGCACACATGAAGTGTTCAGTGATTGACATTATAATTGATTTCAAAATTTCTTAAACCGTAACACAAAGTAACCACTGGTACGAAAAACACAAAACGCAATTACCATTGTTATTACATAGAAATACACCGGCAGTTCAATTCCTAATCCATCTAGTACATCACGTGAGGTTAGAGTTAGATTCCCATTATCAATGCATTGCGGGTAAATGTCAGCACTGGTCTAATTTCATTACCAACAAACCTCTGGATTATAATACCATGTATTTTTCATCTCCAAACATATGGAGAACATTTTGTAAAAAGAGATTGATAAGTTACAGATAAAACAAAGCTAGAAGTGAGGTAACAGTCTACCCTTTTACTTAGATCTCAATTAAAATACATTTACATACAATAACTGATTTCACACGGTGGAATCTAATATCGAATAAACATATATTTCATGCTTCAAAGCGATTGGTATCAACACTTTTCAACCCTTAAAATGTTAAATCCACACCAGACCGTTTGAGATTTTCAATGATGAAATAAAATTATAGAAAACGCTGTTGTAACGTCTGATGATAAAAAGAATACGGAATGTGTGATCAACACTTATTTTATATTATTAATATTCGAAGGAAGTCAGTTGACAGTTTTCAAAGCAGAAATACAACATGTAGTTTACAATATACAGCATACTGGCTTAACCTACCACACAGGGAGCATGTCCGCCATTAGGTACGTCAGTGTAGCGGCGGAGGGGTAGTGGGAAAAGGCCAGATATTTTCCCCACCATAACCACTCCGGGGGATTAACAGAATATACTCCTCCTGAAAAAAAAAATGCTTCAATTTCCATACTTATCAATCTTTTAGTTTCCGATATATCTCTCAATTTTTATAGTTGAGTTTAATTTTTAATTTTCTTATCCTTTATGTTATTGTGAAGCATGAACTCATTTTTGAGCGTCATTTTAAGTAACAGAAATGTAGTTTGAGGGATTTTCTGCGAACAAACCGAAAACAGTTCTAAGCTCTGGGAATGAAATTTCTTCATCCTAGAAAGGTAATCATTGCGTCTTTTTATTCTTAAATGTTTTCCCATCTATTAAATAACTATCTGCAAATCATAGTCTATATTATTAGTAGATATTAAACAAGGGACTTGAATTTTGGAATGTTTTTTTTGTTATAGTGCGGTAAGGTAGTATAAAATTTTAACAGTTCCCATTTAAAACTGATTTTATATTTTGCTACCTATTGGAATAATTTTCATGCAGTGCGCATACTAGTGAACGAGTCAGAATAATATTGACAGTAAGTCGACGCAGACTAATTCAGAACAATTCTACAAATAAAAGCACACTTTTGATAAATACCTAAGGTAAGACCCGCATCCAGACACATAAATACGATCACCATATTAAACCGGAGGTCAGCACTGAATAATCCAATGACAAGGGCAACACTCTGTAACAAAAATATCATATCGAAATCAAAACCACAGACACTCTATATCAGTGAAACATGATCAGGATACTTCTAACCTAGTGATTAAAAGTAGTATTGATATACTTTGAAACAATACTGATATCAATATTAAGTTAATATAAGACGTCAAAGTCATACAACAGGTTTTATTTAACATCAGCTGCAGAAATATAAATAATGCAACAAGTCCATATGAGTGTTTTGTTTTACCGTTGGATACATATGTTTATTTGCTGATATGTTTTATGACTACCTGCATCAGTAGGTTGTAAAGTATCCCGATACTGAGGTAAACGACGTAACCATCCACCCCACCCAGGCCAGCAACCCAGTAAAGAATGGTAACCATCACGACTGGGTTGATCAACACCACTGGTATCTCACTGATCATCTTAGACAGATAGTAGGCCGACAGTCTGTAGATACCCGCGGTCCTTTCCTTATTCACCACGCCTCTCTCAGCATCCACTTCAACACACAGAAAATGATAAGTTTTAATATAAAAGGGATGCAACTCTTCAATAAATACTGTTAGGATTTTATTTATACATACCATTGAATGTCAATATTGCAGTATTATAAAGATTAAACTATGTACCCCTACCTACAACTGCTATTACTGATTTAGTGGTTATGTGATAGGCATTTCTGACTTGAAGCCTTTACAAAATTGCTGTTATGTTCATCTTGTTTTATATCTGCTTCTTTGATGGCGTATTTTTTTAAATTAAAACTTTTTAAAATTAAAACTGCAATTCAAATGCCATAACTTTTGTATTTTCGTGTCAAGTTACTACTACTAAATGTCCGATTTCATCGTGAATTCAATGAAATTACTTGTTCAGGTACAACCACTAGTCTCGAGGGCACTACATGCCAAGTCGTATCAGCTGCGGAAATCCTCATTTCAACACAACACTTTTTGTATAATTTTAAATGCTTCTTGCTTAACATTTACATACATTTTCTGCAATAAAACTACCATGTCACATTTATCCAGGCTTTTGAATATCGATTCGCGTGCAACAGAAAACAAGATGTTACTATCCTTACTACATGTATCAAGAAATAGAAAGAACACGATCGGAAAATCCAAATCTTCCCCTTTAATATTAAGTCGCCACTGTTTGTCACGTTGGAAGCAATGGTCGGTTGTTGAAAAAGAAAATGGTGTGTCCTTGATACTAGTTCGTTAGGATATATAAGGTTGACGTGGTCAATATTTGTTTCATCCGTAAAAGTTTTACGTCGTCAATATACCTGAAAATTTATCTGAAGGACCCTAATATTATGTATCAAACATTTTCACCAGGAAAGATGCAGGTTATGCTACTAAGAGTTTTGCCAATATTCTGCTACCAAATTTAGAATTTTCGTCAAACTAACAATTTCATCCTGAGTATATTTCCTCTTGGCCCTCTTCGTATTTCACAAAATTTACTCGAAAATAATGACCAACCGTATATTGATACGAAGACGCTCCTACATTTTGAATTGACATGATTAAATTGTACATATAATACCGAAGCCATTTCATTAATATAACGGTTAATATAACGGTTACCACAATTTAAATGTTAGCTACTCGTATACTTACAGCCTCTAACTGTTGCTAAGGAGATCTCATATCCCATGAAAACAAATGTGAAGAAAACCTATGAAAGATAAACAAAAACTGTAAACAACATGTTTTTTTTGTATCAAAATGAATATATATAAAGTTTGAGCGGAGTAATATGGTTCATGGTATAACATGGCTGTTGGAATCGGTATGAAATCTGTTTTTGTAAAGAGAAGCAGTCTTCTAAATCTGATGTGTATTGCTTTGCTTTAATGTGCATATCATTAATGAACATACATTGACGCTTTAGAAACTCCTCATTTCAAATTTAAACCCAGCTATAGGATTACGTCACGTTACGTATCAGCCACAGTCATGTGAAGCAGTTTGTAAAACGTCATCTTATCAAGCATAGCTTGAAGTCATAATTAAACTAAAAAATATTTTTATAATATGTTTTGTTAAATAATTATTTTCGTTATTGCAAAGGGATGGGTCGCTGAGGGTGTTAGTTTGTGCCTGCAATGCTATGTGAACAAACCACAAACGAAAAGTGAACATACTCTGTGTTAACAACTTTTAGGATCATAACTCCTATACCGCAGAAATTCATATAATGATTACAGTAATATACTAATTGAAAACAAGGTACATATTGTAATACTAATGTTATGATTTGAGGTAAACAGTACGTAATTTGCTTGAATTTGATAATTGATATATGCTATTATGATACAATGGTTGTTTAATGATATATCAGAACACACGAAACCAATTTAATCTTTTATGCGCATATTAACATCCGTTGTTCACGAAACGAATTTTATATTAGCTATTGGAAAAAAAACCGTCCCCGTGTAACACCTTTAATAATAACCCGTTCCTCCAGCCAAAAGTTGGTTAAGCCTTTTTACGATTCATACATCTCACCATTTTAAAAACCAGACAGATTGAAGCTTTAACTACTTTATTTCGTGTTAAATGTTTTACGATTGACATGGGGAGCAAGAAAAAGATCTGAAACCCAACCGTATAAAGGTGCAAGTGTGTTTTATGGTATCATGACAGCATGCATGTAAACTGTGATCACTGTCGTTATTATTTGGAGAACATCCAGTATTACATACGCTATTAATTAGAATTCCAAACTGATTGATGCAACTAAGAAATTAAAGAAACAGACAAATGTAACAGTTACACATATTGAAAACAGAAAAAGGAGTGGGTACGGCAGAAAAGCAAAACAAAAAAGGGGCACGGATTCACAGACAGTATTCACGGAACACTCCTTAATAATTTTCATCATGCAATACATACCAAACCGAATTTGTCTCGAGCAGACGTTTCTATGTTCCCAATGCGGAAGAAAATAAGTGACACGGTGACAGCCAAAACAACTGGAACAGCAACATCAAGCAAGGTAATGTTCCCTTTCGCTTGTTTGAAAGATCTCCAGTTTAGAACTGCTAGCTGAATCCAGAATGACGAGGGCCATCGATGAGTTGTCTCCTGTTCATCAGCGACAATCTCCACAACAGCCGATCCAGACATGCCTGTATCTGTTACATCATTCAGGTTATACATGTATATGTTTACTCAGCAAAATACCAAACAAAATTCCTGTTTCATTAAAGATTACTACGAAACGACCTTTATCGAGTTTAATAAATATCACCTAAAAAGAATAGCTTTTGATAATAATTTTAACACAAATGTACTCTGGGTGTTGCTACTTACTATCATTACTATGAGTGTCCACGCCTTGAAGCTTTCGACATTGGGAAGGTTGACGAGTGGTGTTGTATCTGTAGAGATCAACAAAAACTACATCACACACAGTTAAGTCTTTATGATAACTTCAATGTTATACGCAGTTTTCCATGTGGATAGAGTAACTGATTTGATCACTTACATGATGTACTTACCTTTTTTCTAAGCCTCCTTGTTTTATGATATTGATTGTGTCACTGTGTGACGTCACAGCATCCACTGCAATTAGAAATTATCTAAAGTAAACTACGTGTAGTTGAAAGGAAGAGACATCTTTCACGGCACAAGTTGGGAAATGTCTTGATTACTAAAGTATTGGTATCGGCCATCGAACAAAAAGATTTTGTTTTTTATTTTTTTACCAAAATAAACTTTATTTTTAAGTTTTAAATTTTAATATCTTCGTTGTGAATATTGTCATTTTTTGTGAAACTATTGCATGGGAACAATAATTCGTCGAAAATTTCTGTTAAGACATTTTATAAATGTTTGATAGTTAGCATAAGTACAAATACAAATAAAACGTTTACTCAACTCAGTTTCATGATCATTGCTGTTTTGAAATATGAATGTTAACTCGTTGACATTTTTATAGCCAATTCTGCTATACCAGAAATACTAGACACCAGGTTCACAACATATTTCTTACACAAGGAAATCCCAAGGTGGTACCGTAAGAATAACGGGATCCATCGGACACGGTTACTTGACCGAAGTCACATAGCATGCTTCATGGCTGATATAACGCGGGGTCTCGAACAAAAATACACGGGTGCCCTTCACGTTCGAGCGGGAAATTTGAAACGTCCAACAGTATTTCGACCAGAACACTATTTATCTAATTAGCCTATATGTATTTATTTATTATTTCTTTTCTCATCTTTTGTAAACTACAGGTTTAATTTTATACAACTTAAAAATAATAACAATAGTATAACATCACTACCAGCATATTTAACAAGGTGAGTGTGAAAGGGAATGCAAGAATATGTCCAGATAGAGAGTAAGGATGTGATGTTAATGGTATAACATCGAAGAAGAATGAGATATACGAGTTAAGTGTGGATACTTGTTGTAAATTAAATAATATGACTTTAAAAAGGGAAAATTCTGATAATGAAAAATAAAAAAGGAAAGAAAAAGAAGTACAATGACGAATGGCTCGGTGGCAAACACCATATAGAGCTATACGATAGAGAGCAGGGACAATAATACTAATAAATTAACAACCACATGCATACTAACTACTCACATACTAACAAAAAAAAATATTTAAGAATTGTAATGGCTTATTATAATAATTGTAATAATTAGACAACCAAAGTGAAGAGCCAACTCTGAGTACAAAAAAACACCCCAAAAACATATTGCAATGAAACAATTAACTTATAACATTTCTCCACATACACAGTATATCGGCTGGGTTGTATTCGTCCTCAAATGGTATTTCTAAAATTGTCAAATAGTCAAGCGCAGAACTCGCAGAGCCTAAGTAAACAACCTGTTCAGAAACGATAAAACAAGGTTTAGGACAATTTACTTTAAGTGTACATACAAATTGTAACTTACAGACGTTTGTTTGTTTTTACGTATTGAAATCAATTAATTCAGGAATTTTACATCAATATCATAATTGATTAACTTTTCATTATGGAAAGTTCTTACAGAAAGAAATGCTCGCTACTTAATTGTTTTTATTGCTTAAAATCTTAACAAATAGCATAATGATATTAAATAACAACAACGGAACAAAAACAATGTTTAAAACATTACCATTATTACATGTAGTTCAACCTAAACATTACTGTATATACCTGTCCTTCCACTAGGAGCAGTAAGGTGGAGAACATATGAAAGACTTGGCTGGAGGGCTGGTGTATCGTGGTCACTATCGTCTTGTCATACTCTGTGGCGTAGTTCTTCAGCTGTATCATCAGTTTGTGTGCAGTGCTGGAGTCTAAACCGGAAGTCGGTTCCTGTTAAAATATTTGAATCATCTACTACAGAGTGTATAACGCCTTAATAACGGAATATGTTTACAATAATTTGTGAGAGCGCACAATTGTGTCATGAATACTAGTTGTAATAACTGTGTCACCGTCCATCTTCACTGCTGTCTGTTAATAAGCAAATAAAAATAAAGGTGCGCATGGCATCAATATGCAAATATTAAGATATAACAAACATAGCAAAAACATGTGTTTATTTTCTTTATCCATATCTATAGCCATATTTCATAGATACGAACACAAGCATTTTCCCTATGGTGAAATAGTATTTTTCGTAGTTCCCAAAGTTTACCGTAGCTTTGGTGGATAAAATTATCTTTTTTTTAGTGATGGCATAGTTATAATATACACACTTTAGTCGTTATTAATTTGAAAGTAGCCAATATTCCTTTAATGTTTGAAATTCATACAATAAACAAGTTTTATGTGCATCCCCTTCTGTTTCAACAGTAGTTTGGATTATTTTGGTTTTTCCATATTTTGGCTTCTAGCAGCACCGATGAGTCCTAGAGCGAAAACACAGCCTTTTTTATTACCACATTTCATAGGTGCAATAACCTGCGAGTATCTTACACTTATCCTTTATCACGATGTAAAGTTTCCTATATGTTTACCTTCCTTTGAAATATTACCCAAACAAGACCCTTTTTATCATGTGTATAATCTATTTTGTGTTAACTCACGTCTACCAGGAGTATATCTGGGTCTCGGAGAAGTTCACACGCGATGCTAGCCCTCTTCTTCTCTCCGCCTGATAAACCACGAGTGAAAATGTCTCCAATTACTGAAATTGAAAAAACCCATACATCACATAAATATAAGAGGAAAAATAGGTCTAGTGAGATGGAAGCCAGTACCTATTCATATAACTGGGCTTACACATCACCTACGCCAAAAAAACAGAAAAGAACAGCGATCACAGATAACGTGTATCTGATAAAACATGTATTAACATCAGCGGATATACGTGAAAAATTATCGCGAAAAAAATACTAGAAGAAAACTAAATATTCGTCATACATGCATATATAATATCTACAAAGTGCCAGGAGAGTAAACATGTCCATATTATCAATGTCAATAATTTAATGATGACGTCATTGATGAACGACGTTTTCATTTAATAGAAGAAGGTTATAAGCATACCCTGCGGGTGGCAAGGGAAAAGGGTCAATGTACCGGGCAATTTTGCAGAATTTTAATTCCAAACAATTATCTTCTTTATTTTAATAATTGCAAAAACCGTACAACGAACGTGTTTGATAAAACAAACCATTATCTATCTCTATGGTTTTTAACAACAAAACCTCCCACTTTTTTCGGCATCAGTTCCACGCTATCACAAGGAGACAAACACGAATTCGAACATATCGTAGCCTCCCAAAAAACACACACATACACTACACGCATGCATCTTACACACAGGGGAGTCCGATCTTAAATATTTAACACCATAGCTGTTTATAGGACAATAAACAATACTAAACCAAACCAAACCTTCCACTTTTCGACGTACAGTAACCAGTAAACCATCTTGCTAGCTATTCTAGATTTAGTCTAACACATATAGAAAAGATATACCTACATTTTATCTAAGAATACACATTGACTCACATTCTATAACTGCAAAGCGGTACAAAATATATTGGTAAAGAGGACGGTTTTAAAGGAGTATGATGATGATTTTCGTTCCCTTGATCATAAGGATGTTTTGATGTGAAGGTCGAAGGTCACGGTCATGAGAATATGTTAAGGTTATGATTAAGGTCGACGGGTCAAAGTTCAGGTTCAAGATCAAGATCAATGTCGTGCTCGAAGTCAGACAATCTCAGACAAGTCAAAATACGTTTAGCAAAGCTGAGACAAGTCCAAACATCTTGATGTAGAGGGTTTATTTTGTAGCAAACAACGAGTTTGTGAATATTCTTGAGTATACATTTTTGCAATTTGATTGATGTAACTCGTAAACGTTATTTTCTAAGGATGTTGTTTTTGACTTGATGCTACAGCTTTCTATTTAGTTTAGGTTATCGGGTGAATAGAAAAGTCGCCGATTATTCAATTTACCCGAGTTCCATTGTAGTTATCACCCGATAACTTAACTATAAATAGAAAGTTAATTCTTATATGTATGGTATTTTTCTTTAATATCAAATAAAACGCGTTCTTTTAACCGGAATATATCCCGCGGGAGGATTCAAGCCCCATGTGTGATACGGTTAATGCTTCGCGCCACACTTTGAAGGCCACCGTGACATGATACGACCAAATTAGGACTTATACGAACGAAATCGGCTGCATATCTTCAGAATAAACATCACATTAGTTTGTATGTTCGCTCTTAAACATGTAGTCATAACTCATTATTGATAATTCTTACTTCAAAGTTGCTCTATGCGGCTATTCTTAGCACAACTTGCAAAGTTACGTAACCCGATGCACTCGTACAATATTTCACTCGGACTCGTTAATACCATTTTATCTCAACAGTTATATTTAATACCCAAAGATGTCCCGTTTAATTCCGGAACGCTGTAATATGGCACTAACGGCTCGCAGTTTTGGAACTCTCTCGTGTTTTTGTAGACTCCACGGCAACGGTAACTAGGCATAGTGTCTACAAAATCGCAAACACACGAAGTAATTTTATAATTTTGATTTTACCTTCAATCATTACAAAATCCAGTTGGTATGCTGTGATCTAACTGTCAATATTTAGGCAGGCATATGACATGTAGATCATGTAAATTTATCGAACCCGTCCCGCTGTGATTACCATACCAGCCTTATCGAGTGCAGTTGAAAATATTACGGCAAAATTGCCGTTTATCCATTATCCAACGTTATTGTCAAAATTGAATGTACACCATGTCATCAAAGTAAACGTATGTAAATGAACACAAAAACGTAGAAAACACAAAATCCAGCAGTCCTGTCAGTCGGTGCTGTACAGAAATTATCATAGACTCGGGCGCTGTATACAACGTGACGTCATAGGAATGTATAAATTTCAACAATGTATGTACATATTTCAACAATGTATATTTTGAGTTGTACAAAACTGGAAACCCCCGGATTGTTGACATACACATATGTACACGGTGTATGTATTATTACGCACACGAGAATGAGTATTGATTATATCATAGGAACCACAGGGCCACGTTACAATCACACATATGCTATACTGATATGGGTCACAACACACATAAACATACACAAGGGAAGAAGCTTCGTCAGAGCACTACCGGTACCGCCAAATTTCGAATGAAGATTTTCAACACTGACTTTTGTTATTTTTTCCATGGATCTGCGGCGATAGCTTCGGTTTGAATTGTAATTAAGTAATCCACCATGATTAATTGTGTAATCATTCGTCTAATACATCCAATCATGCACTTTTTCGGGAAATTTGCAGTTTTACCGCCATGATTAACTTGAACCTGACCCGGAAATGACGAGGGCTTTTCGACATGTCTTTATACCCTACTGCCAAATACTACGGAAAATCCCAAGGCCCCCCGAGTAGAGTAGAGTCCCGCAGCATATATGTTTTGGCGCAACGTTAAAACATCATGTCCGGCATCGTGTCCTGGTATGTGTTTCACATTTACATAGTCCAATATTTTTGATACAGTAACTCTTAAGCGTAAAATGTGAAATGTGAAATACATACCAGGACACGATGCAGGGGGTCTGCTTCGACAACTGCTGCCATTTAGTTCGTGTA